TGTTACTTTAACTTTATAAAACCCTGTGAGGTAGGGTACTTTCTATTCTCCCAATTTTGTCAGTAGAAACGGAGGCAGCAAAAGTCATATCCTGACCTCAAAGGATTAGTATTAGTAGCAAAGCCAGAGCGTAGCCCTTTGTCGTCCTTGTTGGGGCCTCTTTCCATTTCAAGGTGGTCCTTCTCTCTGCACCTTTGTCTCCCCCTCTGTAAATTGTTTATTCATTAAATGCTGAGTTTTACCTAAATATTTCCCCCAAACCTATGTGGATCTCAGAAACCAGAGAAGTACAGAATTGCATCAAATACTTGAGTAAGAGAGGTGCCCGTGGTCAGTCTGTCTGATTCTCTTTCCTAGAGGGTGCAGAGAATTCGAGTGGGGAGGTGACTAGGGACAGACCCAGAGCCCAAGCTCTGTCACTGCCACTTCCTTCCACTCAGTAACTCTGAAAAAGTGCTCTGGGCCAGGCACTAAGCGAGGTGATTTGCCGATTGCGGTCAGGAAAGTGGAGCCACCAATTTTTCCTGAAGACGCATTCTTTCTTAAGCGAGGAATCGATTTCCGCCAAGATGCACAGGCTTCCAATGAAGCCACTTAGGTGAATCTGGATGAAACACCACTAATCCACTGCCAAGGGCATTTATCTCCCTGGCTTGGGGCAGCCACAGCTTTTCAGACTGGGATGTGGAGTTACTGGAGGAATGATGAGGAAGGCTCAGCCACCAGAAGGGGTGTCCCGCAGCAGGGGTGTGAGCAGACCTGTGGAGGGGCCGAGGCCGGCGAACAGCACCGCACGTCTGGCCCCAGACCTTCTCTGCATAGCCACGAACTTGCCAGGTGCCTTGGATTTTTCGTGGCCTTTGTCTGAAACTCCATCTCCCCATCTGTAAATGGGAATAAATGGTCTTGAATATTCCTTTTCATTTTCAGAAGCAGGATGTCAGACGATGGCACAGGCTTTGTAGGGAGCAAAGAGACTTGGGTTTGAATCTCAGCTTCACCCTTCTGGGACCCTGGGTGCTATAGGTTGAATTGTGTCCTCCAAAAAAACATATGTGGAGTTCTACCCAGAGATGATCGAGTTAAAGCGAGCTCGTTAGGGTGGGCCCGAAGCCAGTATGACTGATGTTCTTATCAAAAGGGGAAATTTGGACACAGGGACAGGCACGCGTAGATGGAAAACACGTGAAGCGATAGAGGGAGAAGACGGCCATCCACCAGCCAACATGAGAGGCCTGAGAAGCAGCCGACCCTGCCAATACCTAGATCTCAGACTTCTGGCCTCCGCTGCTGTGAAGCAATGCGTTTTTGTTGTTTAAGCCACGCAGCCTGTGGTGCTTTGTTACAGCAGCCCTGGCAAACTAATACAAGTGACTCAATCCCCGACTTTCCCGATTAGTCACATAGAGACAGTAACACCTGCCCTACAGAGTTGTTTTAAGAATCTGATGAGAAGATGCACATAAGGCACTTGTGTGGTCCTCGGCATATAGTAAGCTCTCACTAATAGCAGTAGCTTGGTCCTGTGCTGTGAACTTGCAGCTCCACAGGTAGGGCCCGTGGAAGGTGGCCAGTACAGAATAAGAAGGCCTTAAGTCAGACCTTTCAAAGAGAACTGGGTTGCCTGAGGCACCTCTTCAAAAGCCTCTCTAAAGATGGAGGAGGCTGCAGAAATCACTATTAATGTAGCGCTTAAAGGTTTTTAGCTAGAGTGGCCTCGGCCTTAATTGACAAGGCCGTGGAGCTGAGGTTTCTTTATTTTTTATGTCCTGGGTACACTTTGAGTGTGTTGAGCTGCTATGGGTAATCAATAAGTGCAGTAGTCATGGCCATTTTATGGGTGTTTGTAAAGGAGGTGGCATGGTTTTGATGGGCAGGACACTCACCCGATGACCCTGAGCAAATCCATTATCCTCCGTGGGCCTCAGTTTCCATATCAGCAGAGTTGAGGAGGTAGACCCAACAAGGTGGGCGTTCTTAAGCGGCATCCCTAAACCTGGAAGTTAAGTGTCAGTTCCTTGTGCCCATAGGCATCGTACACGCATATCGTATGAAGAGCATAAAAGCTATTCATAGCTTTTATCTGGTTCTTGAAGGGACCTCTAATTCTCAAATTTTCCACAGTAACTCAGGGCTGCTGGTTCCTGGCAGGTCTGAGATTCTAGGACTCTGATTATAAAGTTGTTTCTAAGCTTCAGGAGCAAGTCCTACAAAGGTGGCTGCAGTCAGATACTGGGATGAGAGGGATCAGGAATATACAGAAAGAGCTCCCCGCGGAGCCTATCGCCGGGAGCTTTGCTGGACAGGGAGGCCCCAGCTGCCCAGCACCCTTGTGTCTCTGCTCTGGGCCCCGCTTCCTGCTTCGTAGGCTCTCGGTGGATCCGGGTGGTGCCTACCCATCCCTCCACCTCCCCTCTCCTGGATGCCGCACCGGCCTCACCCATCTGCCTGCTTCTATGCTGGCCCCACCCACATTATACTTACCATCCCTACCTGGTCTGCCTCCACCTGCCTCTCTGAAGGCATCTGCTCCCATCCCCCCGGCTCACCGAGCTGCAGCCTCACTGCCCTTCAGTCAGTGCCTCTCGCCCTGGGGCTTGTGCACACTTGGGCCTTTGCCCTTGCTGGGCCCTCTGCCTGGAATGTTCTTCCCCACATCTTCCACAACCTGGCTCCTCCTTCAAGCCTCAACTTAGATGTCGTCTCCTCTAGGAAGCTCTTCCTGAACCCCCTTAAGACAAATTATCCTCCCTGTTAGCCTCCATCATCACACCTGGTTCGTTTCCTTCCCTCGCTAGGGCGTCAGCTCGTGAAGGAATGAACTGAGTCTTATATGTTACTATACCTGGCTCCTAGCATTTAATAAACACTGGAATGCACCCACTAGCATGGCTCAAATTAAAATGAGTGACAATACCAAGTGCTGGTGAGGGTGTGGAGCAATTGGAATTCTCACACGGCCGATGGGTGGTGCGTACAGTGGTACAACCACTTTGGAGAACAATTTTGTAGTTTTTATAAAGTCACACATACACGGACCATATGGCCCAGCAATTCTACTTCTGGATATTTACCCAAGAGAAATAAAAGCATATGTCCACACAAAGACAAACACAAATATTGCAGACGTATTCGTAATAGCCAAAAACTAGAAACAAACCAGTCATCCACCTAGAGCAGGCGAGACTGCTGCATCCCACAGTCCCCCTGGGCAGGGAGGGGAAAGGGAGCCTCCAAGGGGTGGCTGAGAACCCACCAAAGTGTCCCTTCGGCTGTGGCGGTTGAGTGGTGGTGACGGGCGGTCAGGGTGTTGGCGGGGCCGGGAGTGACATGATGCTCTGTATTGGTAGATGTTTAATATGTGTGAGTTGGAGAAAGTCTGGGCAGATGGAGGGCAGGGGAGGTTCAGGGATGTCCCTGGAGACAGAGACTCGCTGAACACCATGCTCCCTGACCTGAGAGCCAGGGACCAGCCACTGGAGAGAAGCTGACCCTCGTGCTACCCATGCATGCAGGATTCTTGCAAAACGCCAATTAAGACATTTGACCTAAATTTGGATAAAAGCCTTTTTCCTGTGTCAAGTGAGCTAATAATATACATTTATTCATAATTTATGAAGCCTAGTAAGTGGGAACAATTAAGGAAAAGGCCTGGCCCAAACCTATTTCTCCTACGTGTCACATAGGCCCTTTTTTGTTCCCTAAGGCAGTTCTGCCCCTCTGTGCCTTGAGATGCTTTTATTTTTATTTTTTGTAATTCGTCATTACTGTCAGCTACCATTTCTTGTGCACTTCCTTAGCCAGGCTAAAGCATTGCCCTGTTTCATGTTAACTGTATGTGGCAGGTGGTGTCCCATTTTACAGATGGGGCAGTTGAATTACAGAGAGGCGAAGGGACATGCCCCAGGTTCCACAGCTGCTGTGTGGGGATTATGATCGATGTCTGCCAGACCCCGGGGCCGATGGTGGACCATTTCAGTGTCAGCCTCCCAGCTCTGGCTATTTCAGAAACTGGTAAACTGGGGAGACCAGGGTGAGAAAGTGATTGCCTTCTGATTCAGGGGTCTGGGCTTAGGCCTAAGAGTCTGTATTATTTCTAACACACTCCCAGGCGGTGCTCACTGCCCTTCGTGGGACCACACTCGGAGGCACTGTGTCAGTCGGTGCCATTACCGGAGTCCTCCATGCCTCCGTTCCACCCCACCCCCCACTGTCGGTGGGTTTATGGCCTTCTAGACCTTTCCCTGTGCGTTTGCATGTGTGTTATCTTACGCAGAGATATGGGTACCCTGATTATTCTCTTTACACGTGTGGGATAATATTCTACCTGCTGATATTCTGCTATTTAGTTTTTTATTTAACGTGTCTTAAAGAGAGTATACATCTGCCTCATTCTTTTCAACGGCTCCATAATATTCCATGATACAGGCAATTATAGTTTTATTTACTTATTGTCTCCCAGTGGGTGGTCTTACACTTTCAGACTTTATAGATATTCCTGTAAAATCCCTGGGAATATGGATGTTTGTCCACAACACAGTAATCGCTCAATAACGTCAGCCATTATTATTGCTGTTTTTGTTGTTTCGTTATCACTATCGACGGATTGTTGCCTTCTGGAAATTCCTTTTCAACGGGGGGCAGCCATGTGAAGGAGTAGCTCTGTTTATAGGTTCTAATAAAGTTTTCAACAAAACATTTCTGGTAAGGGAAAAGAGGTGGCTGTGTGGGCAGGGCCTTGAGGGATGTGTAGGAGTACAGAGGAGAGGGGAAGGGAGCAGCAGGCAGGATGCACTGCCAGGGCCTAGCTTAGCTCCTGGTAGATTTAACGATTGCAAGAGAGCAGGGCAGACCTTTACATTTCTTGGGCACTCGGCAAAATCAGGCCTTGGCCAAGGGCGACTGAAGGCCTAGGCTGGCAGCATCATGAGTAAGAGGGTCCCCACTTGGGTCCAGCCAAGCTTAGCCCTGACCGGCCTCCTTCCTTCCTGTCTCCTCAGGTGGGGTCCGGGGAGGAACAACTCTGCGCTGACTTTCCAGAGCTCGACCTCTCCCAGCTGGACGCCAGCGACTTCGACTCGGCCACTTGCTTTGGGGAGCTGCAGTGGTGCCCCGAGAGCTCCGAGACCGAACCCAGCCAGTACAGCCCCGAGGACTCGGAGCTGTTGCAGGTACGTCCTCTCGAGCACACCACCTCCCGCTCAGCCGTTCCCCTCTCTGCCCCTGAAAGCCTGGTTCTGCCCTGCACCACCTTCTCCTGCACTTGCTCATGCAGAGAAGACTCCTCTTGGGACCTGTCTCTCCCACTGGATTGGTACTTGATCTTGGCAGTCCTCGCCCCTCCGCCAGGCCTGTGTTATCACCCCTGGAAAGTTACAGCTGGGAAGAGCCGCTTTCTCCATGCGCCCCCGTCAGAACCCAGCCCCTCTATGGGTCAGGGAGGGTTCCAGTCCTCCCTTCTCTATGGTATCTCACTGAATTCTCATCTCTACCCTGTGAGGCAGGCGCCATTATTCTCTATTCTACAGAGGAAAGAGCTGAGGCTTAGAGAAGTTAAGTCATGTGCCAGGGCAGTTTACCTACTCAGCAGGGAGCTGGATTCAAACCCAGTCTGCCCACCTCTCGAGCCAGGGCTTTATAACTATGGTGACACCATACTGGGAACGACTCACATTTACTGAGCACCTGCTCTGTGGCAGGACTGTCTCTGTTTATGTATATGAACTCATTTAATTATCTTAAAATCTCTCAGACACAAGTACAGTTATATCCCCATATTTTAATCGGAACCTGTAGTTTCTTTAAAATGAGGCAGCGTGCTATGCATACGGATGCTTCTCATCCAGTTTGCTCCCGGCGCCCCAGCCTCTGGGGCATGTGATGGGTGACGTTTATTTCCTTTAAGAAGCCCTCCAGAATGGAAAAATATGACGTCTGGGGTTTGCTTTAGAATAAAGCACGTCGCATGTGTGGGTGTGTTGGTGGCCTGGAGGGAACTAGATGAAAGAAGATTGGCCATGTTGAAGGTGGGTGATGGGTACATTCAAATTCATCATTCTTTACTTGAAATATGCTTCTCTAAAGATTGGGGGAAGAAGGTGTGGTTCCCTGTGCCTGTCTGGCAACATAGTAATAATAACAACCTGTCTGCCAGATGCCGTGCTGGTGTGCCGTGAGCATCATCTCAGATAGTCCTCCTGAAGATTGCATCATTCCTTCTAGAAATGTTTATGGAGCTCTGTGTGCCAGGCACTGTGTTCATCAGTGGACTGGACAGTCCAGAGGGGAGATTGACCCTAGATCAGCGAACACATAAATAGTGGTCATTGAGACAAGGGCATAAAAGGAAATAAACCTGAGATGAGAAGAGGGTCTAAAGACTGGGTGGTCAGGAAAAGCTCTCTGAGGAGGAGATGCTTCAGCTGAAGGATGAGGAGGAGGAGCCTCGTGAAGAGCAGAGAGCAGGGACAGAGCTTTCCTGACGGAAGAAGCAGTGAGTGCAGAGCCAGGAAGCAGGAAAACTTGCTGTGCTGGGGAACATAAGGGCTGGAGGGTAGTGGCTGAGAGGAAAGTGCCAGGAGATAAAGTCAGCGAGGTGGGCGGGGGCCAGGTCATGCAGGGTCTCATGGGCCATGGTAAGGAGTCTAGATTTTTCCCAAGAATATTCTAACCTATAAGTAAAGGGCTGTTAATGATCCATTTTACAGGTGAGGAAAGTGACGCTCAGAGAGGTTAAGTAACTTGCCAAAGGTCACACAGCTAGGAAGGGTAAAGGTGAAAGACTCTAACCCAGGAACTCATACCCCTCACTGCCACACAACCTCTCTGCCAACCCTGTGAGGATCAGCAAGGTGGGCTCTAGTTCTGGCTCCATCTGGTGACCTTCATTCTTTATGTGAACAATAGGAAAGAGACCTCTGCTGTGCTGCTCCCCCCCTCACAGGGAGCTGACTTCTAGAAAATGCTTTCAGGTTGTGGAGACTGATGAAGGAGATGTGTTCAGATGCTGTGCGGAGACCATTCTCACCTAACTGTACAGGTCCCCACCTACTCAGAGACCGGCCAGACCCACTAGCAAGATCCTGCCGAGGTCCTACTGTGTGCATGAAATAGTCTCAGGCACAAGTCAATGTGGTGTGGGCTCAGGGCTCCCAGCCCAGCAAGGACAGCAGAATCCTCACAGATGGTCCAGACTATGGCAGAACCTGCCCACCCAGCCCCTCTCCGCCCATGGCCTGTGTTCCCCACCTGCTCTCCCAAGACTAGGCCCGCTCCACCGGTTACACACCAATGCTCCTCTGTGCGTGTGGTTATGTGGTTAATGCCCCATTTTCCCCCGCCCCATCGTAAACCCAGTGAGCATGGGGATTGTAACAGCATTGTGCGTTGCTATGGTCCCAGGTCTGTGCACAGAGCCCAGCACTTTCTCAGGACTTAATACATTTTTATCAAATGACTACATCCTTCAATTCCCAGCTCTCATGCTGGTTTCTCCTAAGGCAGTTAGTTGGTCAGTTACGTCCTCTCCTGGGCCCCCATCTTCTATATATGTGTGTCTATATCTGTCCTTTAGACTTCGAGGTCCTTGAGGACAAACAGCATTTTATTTGTTTCTGGGCCCCTCTCGTATCATAAGGACTCAATCATATGCGTTGAATGAAGGAACTGATTGTAATATTTTCTTTCCTCCCAAGGACCAGACATGACCCATTCTACAACCTTGAACTGGGACTCGGGCAGAGGGTTCCAATCCTCCCTCTGCCACAAGCTCGGACACTGTCCTCATTTGATCAGTGGGACTCAGAGCTGTGCTGCCTTGTGTCAGAGTTGCATTCTAACAATCAAATGGCACCATTGCTATGGAAACAGACTGGGAGAGTGGAGAGCAAGCTATTGTTACAGGGTTGACGACTCCTGGGAGGTAGGGACAGTGCCTTCCATGAGTCCTAGAGCCAGGGCCACAACAGGCACTTAGGAAGCATTTTTGGAGGAAGCAGGCATTTGGTTGTCCTGTCACACTGTGCTGTGTGGCCTTGGCAAGCAGCTTCCTTGGGTTGGGCCTAAGTTTCTCCATGCTAGGAATGAGGAAGGAACTCAGATTCAATCAGTAGTTGAATCTGTTCTATCTGTTGTGGGGAGACTCACAGGGTCCTTTTAGACCCTGATGAAATAGACTAACTCCCAGGAAAAAAATGGAGAAAACATCTCCTGGGTTTCCCGGAGCCTGGTTAAGTCCTCCTGGACAGCCGAGGATTTCTGAGTGTTCTTCCGGCCCTAGTAGCCTAAATATTCTGCTCTGTGTCATTCCTTCAAGCCACTCTAGGCCCCAAATGAAGCATTTTCCATCAGATTTCTTAAAGACTCCTTTTCCTCTAGCTTGAGCTCAGCTCAGGAAGGTTGGGGGTGGGGCCGAGTCTATTAATATCTCTTCCTCAGCTGATTAACTCTCCATTAATTTGCACTCCGTTTCCAAGCAGAGCTGGGAGAGTGGAGCTAATGGGCCCAGGAAGAGGAGAGGGGTGGCACAGCTCCCTGTGATGTATTATCCTAGGGTGCTGACGGGACAATGCTGCAGGCAGGAATGGCCTTTCTTCCAGAGGGGTCAGGGCCTTCAACCCCGCCTGGCTGTCCCCAAGCTGGAGCAGCTCAGGGAGGGCTGAAGAGAGCACGGAGGCCTTTTGTTAGTCATTTTGTTTGTACCAACCTGTTGGCTGCTTCTTGAGGTCTCTATTATTTAGCATGGCGCCGGCACGCAATAAGTCCTTGACCCCTCCTCTGACTTGGTATGTTTTGTGACCTTGACAAGTCTCTTTCCTGGACCTTCATTCCCCCCACCCTAAAAAGAATGGCAAATAAGCAATTGTTGCCTGGAGGGCTGTATTAAGAAAGATGCTGGTGTGGACGGAATAGCCACATCTGGTTAGAGATAAGGGGAGTGGTAGCACTTAAGTCACGTGTTTAACAGCCCTGGCCACTATGTGATCCCTGAGGGATCCAGATGATATTTGCGATGGTAATATCTCTGGGCCCTTGGCTGTTCCCTCTGTGAAAGAGGGAATTCTCATTCCATCCAGTGTTGATGACTCATTTCTGAATAACTTCCCTCTAGAATGTGTTCTTTGAAACTCTAATCTCAGTTGTCTCCCTGTGGCCAGAATTCATTGTTTGGCTCATTCATTCTTCCATTCAAAAAAGTCTCCCATGCTTCAGGCACTGAGCTAGGCACGCGAGCACTTTCATTACTACTTCCAGACTTGCCTTCCTCGTAGACAGCCAGGAATCATGGCTTCCTATTTTACAGAAAAAGCAGCGAGCTTTAGATGAGGGAAACGACTTGTCCAAGATCACTCTACGGGGCAGAGTCCTGTGTGGTCAGCCCCAAGAGTGGTCTTTTAGCCCCAGGTTCCAAGATCTTAATTCCCCGTCAGGCTAGACAAATTGCTCTGGGGACACAGGGACTCTGGTCTTTGGGTGAGGAGGATGGGAGACAGTCAAGTGAGCCCCATCACATTCTTGAGCCAGAGTCCGTGGGCCTGGATCTGCCCTCCCTCCATCCCCGGGGCCTGGGTCAGGCCCAACCAAAACCTTCTTTTGACCTTTCTTTTATTCTTAGCTCTGTTCCAAAAATTACAAACATGCTTGTTCTCCTTTCCCCATGTCCCTTTGAATTACTCAGCTGCTGCTCCGGCTGCAAGGCCTGGAACAGATTTGGCCGTCACGAGATGTGTATTTCAGATGAACTTCCTGAAGAAAGGATAAACAGCCTGACCTG